AATGTTGAACACAAATTAGTATTTTGTATAACTGAAAGAAACAAGTCAACGCCGTCAACGGACTATCGAAGTAAGCTCACGTTTGGATCATCTATATAGGAAGTTGGCCAATAATACCAGCGTTTCACAATGTCGCGCATTGTGATTGGTCAGCAAGTTGCAAATTCTTCGAGGTGCCCTATGGTTAATCGCCCGTATTTGACGAAGGGCCGTCTAGGTAAATCAATATTAACTTAGAAGCAGAGAGTAGAGTATCAAAATGTTTATTCCTGGTTTTTGTTCTGATGAGCTCAGGGTATTATACTTGTTGCCGTTTGTAGAAATTAAATGACCTTTAACCCTAACCCCTAGGGACCAATGAAATGCTGCATAAACCTGTCGGGTCTAGAATGTTTAAGGTTAATCAAGTTTACCTAATATTCTGGCAGAATGTTCCAGAATGTTAGGAGTATATGCGAGCGCTAAGTAAACACAATAACCTTTAAAATATACGTTCGAGTTTACATTCAAATGATCGGGATAGTTCGCTGTTTGACTTCGTCGCAAAAAGAGGTCCATACGTGTAGTTCTGAGATGCCATCTTGCAAAATTGAATAATGAGATCAACTGGCCTACATTTTCTGATGATACACATCGGAATTGTTTGGCGTCATCATATATGAAATTGATAACGCCCGTTTACTTTGTGGTTGTAATTAAAGCAAACCCTTTTACATTTTAAAATTTTCTTTGTGTGAGAGAAAATTGTTCGTTTGTTATCGGAAACTGAAAAAGCTCATCGGAACATGAATCTCATTTTAATAAATGGGATCATATGGTTGAAAATCTGTAAAATGAGTCCTGCAATTTCTATCTTCCCAACACACACACTTACACCAGGAAAACATTTCTCGTATAATCAATGAAAGGTTTGGATGATATTTTCTAAAAATGTTATTTTGACATGTCAATGTTTGAACAACATTGTAAAGATATTACACAGATATTACACTCAGGACGAAAACTAACACATCGCAAAAATAACGTTGAATTATTTCACTAAACGTTTTCTCTTCAATGTTATTAACATATTTTCCATCAAAAAAGAAAAGAGTTTTTCAATAACGTTAATCAATCATACATTTAAAAATTACATTTCAAGAACTTCTTAAAATATGACGGATTAGTTATTTAGTATCAAGATAATTTATTGATATTGTAACAATATCATCACTCTATGTTTTGTGCAAGACATTTTAGAATCTTTCTAAGAATTTTATAATCATGTTATGTGCTTACTGGACGAGCTCTGAGTATCATGAACCACAGGGACAGCAGCGTTAGAAAAACGCCGAAATGCATTGTACCTGTAACTATGCAATATTCTATTCTGACCTTTCCTCGAAAGTCATTATAGTTATATTTCCTGTTCGTAATTTGAAATTCGACATTTGGACTAAGGAGAATGGGCTTTTAATCCTGAATATATTAAATTGGTGTAGAACAAGGTTACAAAATAGCATCTGCATGTTGGATTACATGTGAAGTACATGTATATGAGTTCATAATAATCACTAGCTTTGCCGACGGCGGCCAAATTCCTCTGTGGCCATAAATTTAAAACATTAGTAATTACGGCTATAATATAATATAAAAATAGTATTAAAGCCTGTCCCCGACCCTGCGGCCTTTCAAAGACTTTACCTTTGGGATTATGATAATCTTTTCAGTGTCATTAATTCAACTTCATAAATGTTTTGATTGAAGTGCATGCATTACAGTAAAATACCGGGAAACTGGGGTTAGTTCGCTTTGAAGACCTTTATATACTCCTATGAAAAGATGCAATGTGCGCTGAGATTCACAGAAATTTTGTGCAAATTTCGGCTCCTCTGATCAATAAATCTGGTGTGACATTTCCATTTGCTTAAATATTCCGAAAAAATCCTCTTTTAAACATTAAATTTAAACGTGACCTTTTCAGCCAAGAGGATGTTGTTCGTGGGACAACGGTTCACGGTGTGGAAATGTTTCTGTTTAAATTGAGAACCCTGACGGACAAACCAGTGGCATATATCTGTGCCGGGGACTTGGAAGAATAAGAGATGATTTTAATATAAAAAGTAACCAGTAACAAAAACTGCCCAGCCGTGAAACTGGGGGCAAAAGCAGGGGGGCTGCATGGGGTATTTGCTGGACATAACATGACACCAGAAGGCACTGGTCATGATACAGATAATCTTACATTAAAACGGTATATTCAGAAGCTTTTGTTCTGTTTGTCCCTTTTTTTCAACAGAGGGGCTGCATGGAGCACTCTCACAGATAGAGGACTTGTTTGTTATTTAAATTTAAATGACAATAAAGTACTATAGAGTCTACTCAAGCATTTCACATAGGAACAAAGACTGTCCTCTGTGAGGGCGCTCCATTCAGCAAGCCGCACTGTCGTTGTGAAGGTAAAGAATTCATCCAAATCCGCTTTTTCTCGGCACGAAACGTTTAGGGGAAATGATCCAATATCCCACCAGTGGTCAAAAAGTGGAGGAGAAGTACATGACCCCGGGATGTACGTTATTTTTGAAAACATGAATTTTTTTGTGAGAAAGCGGTGCCAATCGGGTACCATACTTTCGCAAATGGCGCCAGCTGTTGGAAACAGTTGGCCTATGGCTAGAAACCTTTCCCGTGAATGGACGGGAAAACAAATTCGTAGCCACAGTGTATTCCATTCCGAGGCGGCTGTACGACGGACGGCATACCAGTGAATGGTATCTGAACGTTTAAAAGTTTCTGCGAGTTTTGTACGGGAAGTGGACCAGACTGTGCAAGATGGCGGCGTCCATGGAGTATTTTGGTCCTTTGGTGATGTTAATCACAGCGTTGAAGATTCTACTGCTACCAGCATAGTGAGTTTTCCAACTCCTGGAGTTACTACTATTTACATGGTTTTCATGGGATTATATATTTGCCCCCCCCCATAGTTTTTTTTGTCATTTTAATCTTGTAAAACTGGTCATTCCAAAGGAGTCAGGTAGGCCTACAGCAGTGTTTGCAATAAACCTTTTCGACGTTCGCAATGGATTCTTGGTGTGGATGACAAACACGCAATGCATTTTATGCAAAACCCTATGGGGTGAGTGAACCAGTCAAAAATTAAGTTACATTTTTCTACTAAATGTTTTTTATGTATCTGCTCATCATCTCACAGATGCATGCATATTGTTAGATTATACAAGAAACATTTTCAAATACGTTTTCAAATATTTGTAGGATCAAATCACCCTTAATTGCCTTCTTTAAGGACACCAGTCATGCTACAGGCGAAAAATGAACGTGACTGGTCAAAGCGGGATGAATGAGCTGCAAGTTGTAATTTTGATTGGACAATACTAGAACATTAATATTCGCAAATTAGTCAAAGCATGGTCCGTACGTGACAAAACGTGGTGTTTTTGGGAGGAATTCTCCTTCTCTGCCAAGCTTTAAACTTCGAAGTTTGTGAATATCTTCGTCCCAAATTAATAATGCAACAACTCCCCAAAACCAAAGGCAACACTCTTTGCACTGACCATGATATAGACCCCCTGCATATGACATCATGCTAGAGGGCATTTCTTTCTTTCAGGGATTTATAAAGCAGAGACAAGTGGCAAGATTTGTAACAGGGGACTACAAAAGTGTTACGGATATGCGGCAAAATCTCCAATGGCCATCCCTCCAACATTGCAGAAAAACCAGTAGACTCACAACCTTATCATTCCATTCATAAAGAAATTGCTCCTGTATTATATCACTCTAGTGGAAAGACCACAGCGAGGCAGACATGACCAAAGTTGTGCATCTTTGTAGTGCAGTACACATGCATATCAAAGCTTTTTTCCAAAGACGATTATAGACTGGAACAAGCTCCCCAATGATCTTGTTCACCACCCAACATCATCTAGATTGAAGATAGTCCTAGGAAAACATCTTACAGCACAACCCTAATTTCATGCTTGCATGGCGCTGGCATGAAGTCAAACTGGATAATGATGCCTTGCAGCGATGTCCAGTCAAGAATCTGAGAAACCAAGGCTTGTTGATCGAGTAAACCTTTTGTGCGTTCATTCTAATTAAATTAAAATAACAAAGAATAACCTCTGACTCCGGCTCAGTGCAAGGGGTCTAGTATTTAGAAATTTCGAATTGTAGTCTAAATTCTTTAAAATTGTGAGAAAATGTGACTTTCTTACTTATAAACCAGCCATGCAAATTTGAATCCACCATGTGTCATGTGTTCAAACACTCATAGTTCCCCTCGTAATTTCCCTCAAATCTCAAAAGCCCTCTTTTCACAACATCAACCCTATCATACCAGCACTGGGCTGCAGTTATGGAGCATGATGTCTTAGTCACACGGAGTAGTGACTTGGAGCTCTGCAAGTACCCTAAATCTTTGGCCTCAATAAAGATCAGTCATTGCAGAAATGTTGAAAAGACACAAATCTAGAACTGAAAAATATTTCTAATTTTGCTAGGAAATACTTGTAAAAGATTCTTGACTCTCCCTAGACTTTGTACATACATGTAACTGCATCACTAGAGCTGTGCTTATGGTCACCTAGGTTAGATCCTTGTATTCTCTCTGAAGACAGGTCAACAGCCACTGCATATAATTTTAACATGTTAAAACCAACAAAAAAATTACATTACAAAAAAAAACAAGTTAAATCAAATCAAACATTGTCAGGATATGTGTTTCTTAAAACACCATTTCTCAGTATTTCTTTATGGGGTCTGACATACATGTATGTACACTTACAGAGACTTCCTATTAGAAACACTGAAAAGATAACTTACTCTGGGTCGTACGTTATGAGTAGTACAGTAATACAGGTACAGTATCTAACGATAACAAGAGAAATGTAAGCAAACGGTCCACATTATCCATACACCTGCAGTTGCAATGTTTGGACATTTATGTTTGACTTTTTTTTTTTTTTTTTACAGCCGATCGACTGATTTTGAGGTTCACCGAAACTGGCTGGCAATCACACATTCCCTGCCCGTTTCAAAGTGGTACTATGAGGTTAGTCACAGATGTCTGAGATGGAATTGACTGATTTCATGTATACAGGTGTGAACTAGCAGAGGATGGAATAGCACAGTGTGGTAATAGACTGATCCTCTTAGTCTCGCCCATTACAAATGAGGGCCATTAATTTAACACCTGCTTCTCTCTGATGCCACATTGTAAGATGCAGCAGTGTTCATTATACACACCTGTATGCATGGGGTATTTTGCGCACACATGCTGGACAAACATCACAGCTGTGATTGGTCGAAAGATCATGAGGTGGGGCCCAGTGGATCCGTCTATTAAAAGATGGGGAGCAGTTCCCCCTTCCCTGATGACCTGATGAAGGCCTTCGTGCATGTAGAACTTGGAAGAGAAAATACACAAACTTTCTTTGTTGCGTGATACTGAGCAAGTCTAGATTATTTTGCTACTGTGAAGTATGGGACATCATTGCATTAAATCATCCTCTCACAAACAAAATACACCAAAGGTCTGCCTTTATAGAATGTTTGGAAAATTACCCTCTCAGGTCTTTCAACTTACGTGTTATACAAGTACATGTATCAAGTATCAATAAAATAGGTATTTCAGCTGTAGGTGGGATAGCATAGTAACCATAGCTGTTTCACTAATGTGTGGGTGTTTTTGTAAGCCAACAGAAATTGCTTCGGACACAGCCAAAATACCTCCTGACTTCAATTGCAAATTTGACCGTATGAATCAGCAGTGTGAGAATTCAGCTTTTTAGCTGATTTCAGGTGTTTTTTGTAGATGTTGACCCTGAATTTCAGCTTTTTTGTACACCTGGTCTGTTCAAAAGTATGGGAACTTTTTACATTTCAGCTTTGTGCTAGCTGTTTTCAGCTTTAATTTTAAGAGGTCACTCACACCCCTGATAAATAATGCCCTGGATTTTGTGCAGTTGTTTTTTTGTTTTCAATCACAGACTTGGGAACACTCATGTGCCCTCACACAACATCTTCACTTTTTTATTAGTCTGTATTTTGATCTCTATCTTTTATGACAGGACACTTCCATATGGACATTGGACTATCCTCCATTCTTTGCCTGGTTTGAGTTTGCACTTTCACAGTTAGCACAGCAATTTGACCCCGGCATGTTAGTTGTGGCCAATCTCAACTATGCCACCCAAGCCACCGTCGTCTTTCAGAGGCTGTCCGTCATCCTCACCGATTTTGTGTTTGTCTTTGCAGTCAAAGAGTGAGTTCCTACTTTAGTGCCTTTGCTTGTCCGCAAAGGGAACAAAGAGATGAACAATTACTCTGTGATAGGTCTACTAGAATCTCAGAAAAGGAAGGCTAATATGCTTGCATGTGAAGTGTAAAGTCTGAACCACAAAATCTACACAACAAAATCTTTGCCTGTCATTTCATGTTTCCATAGCTTGTGTAGACACAAAATCCAAGATCTTGGGGAGACACATTTATATCTTTGCCTGAAAATATCTTTTTACAGCTTGATAGAATGTCTTAGGCAGCATCTTAATCTGTTGTCTGGAGATGTGGTTGGTCTTCATTCCGTTGGAAATACACAGAGAAGTATTGACAATTAGATCCAGCCATAGCTCTGAAATCCCATTTGGGTCATGGTTTTTACACTGAAGGGGGAAACAAGTGCTTGACTCAAGAATTTGTTGACAGGCAAAAAAATTTTGAGCTGTGTCCGACAGTCCAAACCTTTACTTTAAGGTTTTGAATGAATGGTATCTTGAATATATGTCTTCCAATGGCAAGTGATTGCACAATTGCACATACATGTATGAAAAATAAGTATGACAGATTATGAGCACAGGAATACTGTTCAAAGGACCAATTCCATAAATTGTGTAATTTCTAATTTATTGAATTTATATTTGCATTTTAAAATCATGACAGCATGTAGTATTCTTATTCTTTCTTACCAGAACCCATTAATTATACCGAAAATTATTAGATCTTGTGGGACAGAATAAACCTATAACATAATGATGTCACACTTTGTTTACATGTGCACTTTTGTAAATTTGCGCCAATTTATAATGTATAGAGCTTATAGTGTTCTTTTCTGTTTGGGGAACAAACATTTACAAATGTTTGATTGCTGGTAGTTAGCATCTTTAATACCTTTTCTCGCCTATCTACCTGGAAAGTTCTGAGCAATTCGTTCTGCTGATCACTCTCTGCAGGTACTGTTCTTCTCTGGCCAAGAGGTGTGGTCGGAGGGAATATGCACAGCTGTTGGAAAAGCCCCAGTTTGTACTGGCTGTTCTGTTAGTTGGTAACTTTGGCCTGATTCTGTTGGATCGTATCCTCATATTCTGGGAAGGCTGTTGGGTTTGATAGTTTGATTTAGAAAATAAGTTGGTTCCGAGTTTTTCAATGTCATTTCCTTTTCAGTCCAGTTTACCTCTACATGTAAGAAGCATCTAAAATACAGTTACAAAATAACGAGTAAGTTCAGTCTACCATCACTGATCAACCACTTATTGATGAGGTCCCAGGGATGTATTGTTTGCACATGTTACCAGGCAAAATTGAGGAGTGGTTTACGCATCATCGTATATAGGCTGTAACTGCAAACATGCTCAAACCCTCTCCAGCATGAGCACTTCAGAAATTTCCTGTCAAATTCTTCCTCAACCGTTTGTGGCCAGATATTCATTTCCAGTACAACGGTTTCCTGTACGGCCTGATGCTACTGTCCCTCGCAAGAATAAGTGAGGTAACGTATGTCGAATTGACCAAGATTCCCTGTCCGTCCTTGAAGTCATTTCATTTCCAATGTTTTGCAAGAGCTCCGTTTTGTGCTCTTTCCTCACAGGACCACGATCTAGTATGGTATTCCAATGTTTTTATACATCAAGTGTTTTGTCGCTCACTCCATACTCAGTGGGACTCGAGCCCATGACCTGTTGTAATGCCTTTGAAAATATACATGTAATGTGTTGCATTTTAAGAAAATGCTTGGCTCGGTACCTAGTGCTCATCTAACTCCAACTGGCAAGCCGACTGGCAAGCCGACCCTGGCAAGCTTGATGGTCGATTGGTAAGACATTTGCACTGGTTAACAGGAGGTCATAGGGTTCGAGTCTTGCACAAGTAAGCTGGGGAGTTTTCCAGCTAACACTGAGTGGACGATATCAGGCAAAACACCCAATCTGAAGTTTGCATCTCTTCAATGCCAAATAAGCCTTTTGCCAGTTAACTTTGACCCAAATCTGGTACACTGAGTTCTTTAAATTCACGTGAACATAACAATTTGAATTCTCCTTACTAAAAGCTTTTGCTTAGTTACATAAGAGATGCCTTGCAACAATACACTGTTCTCAATGGATAAGAAGGGCACAAAGGAACCAGTCCATTCCAGAGCTTGCCCCAAATCACAAGGTATAGCAACAGTGTCTTAAGTCTGGGGAATTCAAATCGTTATGTCTATATACAGTCAGATAACTCAGTGCAACAGATTTTATACAAATTTAACTCGCAAATGGCTTACTTTAACCAGATTTTCAGTTAAAAGTCGTTGTCGTGCCCTTTTCTTGTCACAGGGGCGTAATCTTGAGGGCGCTTTTTGGTTTGCCGTTCTCCTCAACTTCAAACACATTTACTTGTACATCGCCCCAGCTTACTTTGTGTACCTGCTAAGATGTTACTGTTTCACAAGAAACAACAGAGGTGCGTAGACTGCATCATTTACCATTCGTAATTAAGGGCTGTGTTATACTTATGCTTTTTGGGAATTTTGTTGGTTTGATTGGAGGCATGAAGAAATGCCCACTTTCTTGAAATTTTCGTAGCCCTTTTTTCCCCTAAGCCTTTTTGCTAGAAATGGTCTTGAATCCTCAAGAAATCAATTGTTCCATGGTTTGGAATGCAACTTTCAGTGTACATTGAGCTATGGGTCTTTTAGGAGGCGTGTGGCCAAGTGGCTAGAGTTTCTAACTCCTGCGCATAGAGTCATGGTTTGAATCCAGCAGCAGGTTGCATGCTGTGTCCGCAGGTAAGTCACTTTACTCCCACTTGCCTCTTTTGACCCAGGGTACCTGTTGAAGACAGAGATGAGTATTATGATTGATTACCCATTTGCACCTTTCATGGCAGCATCAAGATGTATACTCCCTAAAAGCTGAGATGGTGTGGTTTTTAGGAATATTTATGGGCCCGATGAACAAGGGTAGCAATATGTACATCTGTACTTTACTAATATCCGTTATAGTAACGTTTTTATTAGGCCACCATTACTGAGTAGACAAACGAAGGTACCCAATGATCAGATTTGTTTAAAAGACCATGTGCAACGATGCAGTAACCCTAAAAGAGCCGGGGGGGGGCAGAATTTCCCTCAACATTTTTCCAGTATCCCGGCAGTGCATTTTATTTCAGGAATTGAGCCCGCAGCAGTTTTAGAGTAACTCTTCGTGGTCATTTTGACACCAAGTTTGTGAAAATCGAACATACCGTTCTTGTGTAGTACATATTTTTCTGAGACAGGTCAGCCAAAAATGTACACTTATTCCACTGCTGTGCTCAACGCACGCGTCCTGCATGCATATACCATTTAATTTCGAATGACCGTAACAATGGAAGCACATATCTGATTGAGTTCAAACTTCACATCTGTAATGATAAGGAGTGTCTTTACATACATGCCAAGTTTCCAAAAAATTGACCGAGGCTGTGAGATGGGCCAAAATAAGCCCCGCTCTTTTAGGGTTAAGTAAACACTTGCCATTAAATCCATAATGAGCCAAAGAACACAGGTAGCTTTTACTGTTGGATAGAGCCTAAGAAAACTAGTTTGAAACAAGGTTGAATAATGTCTTGTTTCAGGGGCATTTCATTCCGGTCGTGTTTCCTCTCGTACCTTTCTTTTTTGCAATAAAAGTCTCCTCCTCCTCACCAGGCCAAAGGCCCTGCAAGAACTAGAAAAGAAATGAGTGAATTTGAATCTGATGATAACATTTATCCTTCAAGCACATATCCTAGTACAACTGTTCTGTCTCTGTCTCTGCAGATGGAGGGGTGCAGTGGACCAGCTTGTCTTTTTCCAGGCTCTTCTCCCTCGGTGCTATTGTAATAAGTGTGTTTGCAGTGTCTTTTGGCCCATTTATCGCAATGGTAAGTCCAAAATCGGGTCTGTTACCGTGGACACAAGACGACACTCTCAATCCAGCGGTTCTGTAATCCTAAAAAAGCTGGGAGTGGGAGGGTCAGTTTTGTCCCCTTGACATTTTGACAGACGTCGTTGCAGTGCATTGTTTATACCAAGCCTGCAAGAGTTTTTCCAATATTACTGCAGTAATGACCATATAGCATTGGCAGGTAACAGGTAGCACAGGAGAGAAGCATGTCAGCCTTCAGTTGGGTAGCCAGTCAAGATGGCCCTCGTTCAATGATTGCTTCAAGAGCTTTCCAGTAATGACATGCAGTTATTCTTTCATGACAAACAGAGATGCTGTTGCTGTGAATCCCCCATTTTTCTGAGTAGGACAGCCAAAAATGTTAACCATTCCTACTAACATGCTCAATTCATGCTGGCTGTGATGAGTGAACTATAAATGACCATTACAACAAAACCCTGTGTTGGATTGAATTGAAACACCACAGATGTACACAAAATGAATGGCTGTGTGCCTGTGCTAAGTTTCAATAAGATCAGGCTTGAGACAGTTGAGATATGAAGGATGGGCTGATTCCATGGCCCCAACCCTAGTAGTGAGATGGTCCAAAAAAAGCCCATCTCTTTTAGGGTTTTCCTTTCCTTGTAAATAGAAAGTGTTTACAGTTCCTTTGTTACGTGGAAAAGTGTCTGTTCATGTCTAAATATTCTTTGCTGTTTCTTGCATCGATTTCCAGGGTCAGCTGCCTCAGGTTCTCTCCCGGCTTTTCCCCTTCAAGCGAGGGCTATGCCACTCCTACTGGGCCCCTAACTTTTGGGCTCTCTACAACGTGGCAGACAAGGCAGCCACAGTCGCAGGTACAAGTAGTGCCTGTGAAAGACACCTTACTCTGTACTTGCATCATCCTCGTCGGCTCATAGCCTGACACTTGTATTCCGTACATTTTGCTTTATGCTGAGAAGTGTTTTGTTAGGACCAACTATCTGTTATGGCACAAACGAATATAAAGTCTGATCCCTTGTGCTCGTTATTGCATAGTCATGTTTTTTCATATATTCTCATCAATCTATTACTACTGGACAACTGAGGTTATGCATCATCTTACTCCGTATTGGTTTTATTTTTACTCCGTTTGAAAGGCTTGAGACTGGAGCTATTGTCTGCTGAAAGTCTTCAAGATCAAGCAGCATCGATGACCGGAGGTCTGGTACAAGAATACAACCACGCTGTCTTACCCTCTGTCCCTCCTATTGCTACACTGATACTCACTGTACTAACTGCTCTTGTAAGTCTTAAAAACACAAAGCCAAACTTCATCATTGTTTGAAGAGAATGAGATTTAAAGATTTGAAACTTTGCATTAGGTAAAGTATGGATGGATTGTAGCAGCATCACATCAAAACGTCGTTAATTTATTATTGGAGCCCTCTAAATGAACATTGTTCAATACAATTGAGCACAGCACACCTTGGTCCTCATGACACCTAGATTTGTCCAGAACTTACCATTTTTATATCATTGCGTGCTGATTGGCTGCATGCTGATTTGCTGTATGCTGATTGGCTGCATGCTAATTGGCTGCAACCTGCAGGCCAGAATGCAGAGGACATACCCTTTGTTCACTTTGAAAGCATGTTTAACAGTGATGAGCTAAGATCTGCAAGTCAGATAGTGTGATTGTTCTTGAGGAAATCACCCTAAAGCTTGATCAGATGATGCTGATCAAACTGTAGATTTGTTTACCCCATGGGCTCTCCATGGTAGCACAGTTTTGAACACAGAAGAGATTAGTGCTTGTCAAATTAAAGCAAGGATCCCTCAGTCACACTAGTGGCATCCGAGCTTGCTATCTTGAAGAAACATTTTATTTTTTGCATTGCAGCCAGCCTTATTGCACCTGTGGAGGTACCCTAGTGGCCCTAGAGGTTTCATAAGATGCCTCACCCTGTGTGCCTACAGCTCTTTCATGTTTGGCTACCATGTCCATGAGAAGGCAATTCTGCTGGTCATTATACCCCTGAGGTGGGTAACACTCACGAAACAGCTGGATATATTCAGGCTACTTTGGTTGTTACAAATGGTTGAACATGCTGAAGTTGACGCTTTCGTTGGATTACAGCAGTCATAAACACCACCTCAGCCCTTGGTGGACATTTTTTTTAAGATGAACTTTGCGTCAGGGAGATGCTAATTTTAATTGTGGCTTTTGCCCTTACCCGTTGTATATATTTATAAACACTGCATATTCAGTGCTTGTCCGAGAGCTTACAAATAAATTCACAAGCTTACTCGGGTGGAGCTCGGACTGGCCTGCTCCACCTGACTCGGACCGTCAAGCAGACCCTGGCAAGCGTGGTGGCCGAGTGGTTGAGACGTCTGCACTGGTTAGCAGGAGGTCGTAGGTTCGAGTCCCACAGGAGTAAGCCTGTGAATTTTTTCGCAAGCTCTCAGACAAGCATTGACTTTTTAAAAACGTTTGGAAGAAGTAGATATTTCAATTTTGATTTGGAGTTTAGTGGTTACAATAACCCCATGTTATCCTAAACCTCAACGCGTGACGTTTAGGGTCATTTTGGACTGACCAAGCCAGTGTTGCTCTACATGGGACACGATGACCCAATTCTTTTCCATTAGACACACTGTTATCAGTTTGCTGCATGGTAATGGAGTTCTGTGGATTGAGGTAAGTTCTTCATAAAAAGCTGTGGGTGTGTAGGATTTGGAGTTCTTTTCGGATTTACCTGTTCCCTCACTGAGCCATATGCTTAATTGTGAAGTGTGTTGTTCCAGCATGACGACACTCAAAGCTTCCCTGTCCCTTGTTGTTTTTAATTTAACCCTGTAATTTAAATTCAAAGGTTTCTGTTTCAATGCCATTGTGTAAAGTAAAGTAGTCAGAATACATCAACAGTTTTTGTCTACGTGTATCAGTCTTCTAGCCATGGAAAGTTTGAAGGATGCTCAGGTGTTTCTCATTGTGTCTGTTGTGGGTCACTACTCCCTCTTCCCTTTGCTCTTCACCCAAGATGGTGAGTTGATCAACACTGACGGCCCGCAATCCGTGAATTTGAATATAATTGTTCACACACACTAGGGGCTAAACTTAAGTGCAACTGAAAAATTGTGACTTTTGTTTCTCCTGCCCAACCCTTTTACTCCCACTGTGACTTCACTTTGCCTCCCCATAATTCATTAAATCTCAGAACTTGTAAATCGGACCGGCATTCTTTAGTGTCGTTGTCAAGATCGTCTAAGACCACCACATCACCCACAAGACTGTCAGAAGACAAAAACAAGACTTTGAGTCATTACCTAAGGCACAATCTATTCAACTGAACTGCAACAAAAGCATTCTTATCCTGTTCACCCTGTTCCTTGTGACTATAATGTCTTATGACTGCTCTTGACTACAGTGTTACTCTTTCTAGCCACCCACTGGTCCATAAGGCAGAGCTTGCCCAATATTCTTTTTACTCTGCTTCATCTTGCTCCCATCCAGGGGCCCATTTCATAGAGCTGCTTAAGCACAAAATTTGCTTAAGCGCCAAAAAACCTTGCTTAAAAAACAAAGGTTAGCAGCTCAAAATCCTTGTGATTGTCATGCTAACCAAAATATACATCATATGGAGATTTGGCTGGTAATTTGATTTGTCAAGCAAGCTTTCTTCACGCTTATGCAAATTTTGTGCTTAAGCAGCTCTATGAAATTGGCCCCTGCCGCTTTCTACCTCAAACATGTTGCATGATGCTTAAATTCTGCAACCGATGAAACATCTCAACCATCCGGTTTGTCTTTTCCCCAGAAACACCCATTAAATTGTGCCTGATGTTGGCCTTCACAATCTTCAGTGTCATTGGTACAACTCATATTCACAGGTGAGATTTGAACTTAGTAAAGTTGCGTCCAAATTGTACGGCTGTGGATAGAAATTACTCACAGCGGTGGAATAACTTGCTAGCGGCTGTAGCTACATATACTTCCCTTGGATGTGTGTGTTATTTCTAGCCACAGTTGCGTGATATGAGCAAAGCCCCATATACACAACTCTAGTGCACGCACAAGCATTCACACCCACACAACATAGGTTTCTTTGTGTCTGTACACTATCATTTAACAAAAAACTTGGTCAGACCACTCCAGCAGTGCACACATTTTTAAAGCTGGTTTGTGTTTCAGACAAAGGCGAAAGCGAAGTGAATATGATATTACCAAATATTTTCAGCGAAATTCGTCTGAGATGAGATATGTTCCACTTTTACAAATTTGCAGCATGACTATTTGATCCGACGTCACAATCCACATTTGTGTGTACTTTTCGAGCCAAGTATGAACCAGCCTGTGCTAATTAATGCTTCGAAGGCAGGCAGCTTGAAGTATGGGTCCTGATAACCTGAAATCTTCAGGATTCAGAGACTTCGTAGAGGACACTCCAGTTGGAGGTTGTGTTAAATTTGATCTCACCATTGAATCACCCAGCCACCCTTAACTGAATCTGGATCCATCTAGTGAAGCTTTTTGTGTCATGTCCCTGTCCATTGACAGATACACCAATAGGTTCCCCAACCTGCTCCCTAATGTGCCCCAGCTGTCCACCATTGAGACGCTGTACATCCTGGGTCTGGTGCCCCTCTTCATCTACAAGAATCTCCTACACAGCATGGTGCCTTCGCTGCAGCGGTATGAATTCCTGCCGCTGATGTTGACATCAGTCTACTGTGCTCTCGGTATCACCTACGCCTGGCTGAAACTGAATGTGGTAACACTAGGCAGAGGAGGCGGGAGACTAGACAAATCCAGTTGAAACTTTTTGGTACTTAGGTCGTTTTACAATACTCAACTTCGTCTCCGTCTCAGGCTTCGTGTAGGAAACCAATCCTCGATTGTGGGCCTGAAGCGTTTAACTTAACTTGAAATACTGTAATTTTTCGCTCTTCTGCATCTTACTTGATGTTTTGTGGCACTCTCCGACTTACTATTTCGCTTATAACCTCAAAGTCAGCAAGTAAAAACCAGTTGAAGTCTGAGATGGAGCCCAAGTCAAGTATTGGAAAATGGCCTTAGTTTTCAGATTATTATGATTTAGGGAATTTGGTTGAGTATTTAGCTGCTTCGACGTATTACCGAAGCAGCTATTGCTTTCGTTAAAAGTTTTTTCTCCTTTTTCAGACTCTTTTTGTGACAGAGACTTTGATAGTTTTATTTATCTGATTGATTAACTTGGTAGACCTTTAGATATTCATGTTAGGTAGGACCTGGAAGAAATTGGTGATCATGATGTCATCACATGATTTATTTTTGAATTTTGAATATTTATTTTTTCCCGTAGGTTTTGAACGCGTCTTTCTACTAAATCATCATGTTTCTTGAATTTGGTATCTTTTCAAATAAATCTGCTTGACTTTAAGTTATTCCAAGAAGGAGTGGTGACTGAAATTTATCTGAACCTTTACCTTCAGTGGGCAGTGTGAAATTAAACTCTAATTGGAGAATCTAGGAATGTTACTAATTAAATCAACTGCTGCAAAATATTCAATATGGATTCCTTGGACTGTGACACAAGTAATACATCTAACTCCAATTTGTGACTAGTAAAGGGGTTTAAGGAGTCCTTTTCTATGTCTGCATTTGTTTCAGTACATCCCTTTGCCGTAAAATAATTTTTAAAAATAAACCTAATTTTCAGATCACAGAAAGTTGATTTTCAGCATTCTTATTCTTGATATAGATTTATCGTGTCAAATTGTAACTCGCATATCATTTGAATTACTGTTCTTGCTCTTGTATTTATGAAGCTTTGTTAATTATCATTGTTGAATTATACAACTTGTCCCATGGAATTTAAGTAGCCATACATAGGTTTGTTTTTCTCATACAACATACAATCCATGTAATTTCCATGCTTTTGTTCCAATATTTTGCTGAAACTTGATCGTCTTAAGAGTCAGCTTCATAAGGACCCATAACCCCAGTTCAGAAGTTTCATTAGTATAAGTGGCTGAGGGTTAAGGTGGTGAAGTTTTGCCAGTTCATTCCAAGATTGTGGTGACTGGTCGCTATCTAATGCTGAAATGCAGTCTCACCTCATTACATCTTTCTTTTCCTGCTTGTGATTTTTATATTTTCTAATCAGTATTATTTAAGGTATTTTGTGACCTCGCTACTTACGCAGCATAGCACAGCTAGTCCTCTGAAGGCTACACAGTGAAAAAGTACAGAGACCAGTCATCCGTAAAATTGATTAAGCATCACTTAGTTTTTTAAAATTACATTGATCCCATTTTTAAATTTAATTAATGCAAATATCGATGAGAAAAACTGAATCGTATATGTGCACATCTCCAAGAGTACTGAAGGTATGAAAATTTACCTTAACTTTTTTTTCAGAATGGAACCACAGGATTTGGACATATGGACAGTTTATGATTCAATACTGTGCACAGGCCAGCCACAGTTGACGGAAGCGTGACGTCACAATGGAGCAAACAATTGGACATATGCTATTCGTTGACTTCACAATTTGTTAACTGAGTTCGTGCAAACTTCCCAGCAAGAATGTTTAGGGCATTAGGGTTATGACCAAGATTGTCAATCATGTTGACAGTCTTGACAATCATCCGATGTCGGGCTTGTTGAAGAAGGGATACCTGGATTCTAACTGCTGTTCTGTTCTGAAACATTTTGATGCGGGTGTTTGAAATAAAATGACAATAAATACGAACAGCATGGCAAAGGATAAGCACATTGTAGGTTTTTAACAACATCTAATTTTTTCACTCATTTTGAGATAGAATTGTGTGAAACTTCAAATTTCTGTGGTTGTATTGACTGAGATACTTCTTTTGTAAATTTGCTTGATTGTTGAACTATGAACCCAAACAAGTTGTACCATTTGCTGCACCTTGTATTTTATCTTGTCATCATTTTCCAATTCTGGCTACCGGGGTATTGTCTCATCAGCGGCCAACATGTTAGTGTAGACCTGATGAGTGCCAGTGGATTCTTTGGTTATTTTCTTTAAACTCATGTGCCTGAATAAACAAATACATTGACCTTACTGCCTCACTGTTGTTTCTGCTCACATAGCACTGTTAAGAAATTCCTTTAATTTGTAAGTTTATAAACAATGTAAGTCTTAGATGTGAAACCAAGGTCATTTCTGGATATTTGATAGAATCGACCCAATTAACAGAAATTGTATCTTTGTAATTGAATTGTTGGATAATGCGAGATGGGAGCTTTCCTCGAATAAGTGTTCCAAATTTCAATTTCACCTCGATATTTTCATATAGCAAAGGATGCTTTGTTAAATTATACAGGGGGTTGATGTGCATGTACGAAAGATATTTGATCAAATGCAAGAATAAATTAAAATGTTTCAAGCAATTAAAAGATTAATCAAACAGTATTGTAAATAGACGGGGAGGGGTTCCCACCCCAGTGGAAGGCCTCAGCCTGTGCCCCTGCCCCCCATTTGAAATTTTGAAATGTGCACAGCCGATCTTTAAATTACGGCACAGCTACTTTGTGTACCCCTTCGGGAAAAATGCGTGTCCCCACCTGCAGTGCCCCCACCTGCAGTGCCCCTTGGAAATTTCGCCAGTCACGCCATTGTTAATAAAAATGGAAAGTTTATGTCATTCCATCAAAAAGAATCTTTATTTGCTTATTCTCAAGCTCAAATGGAAATCTATTGTGCTAGCCTGCACTGAGATCTAGTACTTTTTTTCATAAGGAGTATATGAAATTCCGTTCTCCACGGTCAAGAGTTAAAGAACGGGCAAATAGGCCCCTACACAAATCTTCTCCGCTTTGTCTATTATTTTATAGTACATGATATTTTAAAATCTTTATCTCCAATTATTGTAACTTTCATCATTACTTGCTTTATACACTCCAACGCCAGCGGCACTACATGACAACAGTTGTCGCGGCCTTTCAACCTCGCGCCAATATTCAAATGTTCAGCCGGCCATCTTGCTTTTCTGATTCGCGCGGTGGTGTGCTAAGGTGTTCGCAGAACATTTCTGCATTTGGTTCTTCTTCCTAATTGCAAGAGAGGCTACGATATTTTGAAAATTGTAGTTCATCATAAGTTGCTGATTTTACCTAAATCGTGTAGTGATGGTTATTTAAACGAACTCTCCTTACCCACGGAGGTGTCAGCGGTACCGCAAGACATTAGCTCGAGAGCCAGTTCTCCCTGGGCTACATGTGCACTCAGTCTCCCTCTCAAGTTCGCCCCCAGTGCAGTGCATGACGACTACTAAACAGTTTTACCACCGCTGCAGTGGAGAAGGATTTTTGGGTAAGTTTTCTAACTTCATTACTTCATTTTATTCACTTCACTTTGTTTCACACACAAAGGTGGAGGGACCACTAAGAAGCACAGCTTGTCGAGTAGGGGCCCCTATACAAACATAACTGGACATGTAAGACAAAAACAAAACATATAAGTCATCTACATACATGTATAACAATTAACAAAGAAAAAAAATTATAATATTTACTGGCTGGAGGTCAGCAACAATGCCAAGGGTATGTGCTGGCTCTAGCCTAGGCCCCATGCAGGCTGAAAAGGCGAGGCTTTAAATGAGAATATTGGCAAAAGTTAGGGCCGGCTCATATTTTACGCGAATGCGAAATTGACGTCATAAAAAATTTGCAGCCAAATACTTGTACATGCCATGTTGAAATATTGAAAAATGTTCAACCTTTTGCGATTTTATTTTTGACAATGAAAGATATTCTCATTTTTTCATGTTTTGTATAATTCCCGCGAGGCCTATAAGTATTACATTTTATCACACAACTGTTTTATTATCAGGCCTTGCCCATCTTTTTAAAACAAAGTATTTTGTATGTCTGTGCCTTATTTATCATCGACATAAACACTTTCAGACTTGACTATCACCATGAATCACCATGGACAAAAATAGAAGAATTTTAATTGTGTAAAATAATTAAAGGACCAATGAAATAGGATTTGCATTGCTTTTAACCATGCAAGAGTCTCAACCCACTGTCAACGTCAACAATTGTTCATGACAGGTATGAGCTGTAATGGCAACTGTTGCTTTTATGTTAATGCGAATTTCCATATTCATTTGCAATCTGTGAGCCAAATCTGTGAGTGTAACATCCCCCCTCAGCCTTTTCTTAGACCCACTACGCTTTAAAAACATTCGTGGGGGAACACTGAGTGTATGTACAGGAGAATATTAAGAAGACTTGTTTCTCACTGACAGTAGAGACATCAAGAGTATAAAAGCAGCAAGATGACAGGTGACACAGAAGGTCGACATAGTATGAGGAAAATGTTAATGCTAGCCGAGAAAGATTGAAATCTTGATCAAGTGATAGAAAAGAAAGTAAATAGGTACAGGGATGAACAGAACTGGAGAGAAAGAGTGTAATTTAAAAATCCACAACATACCAGATTAAAGCAGATAGTGAAAACATTGAAGCTAGAAATATGCATCATAGATGAAGCAAATAATAGGCCTATTGCTTGGAGGTTGAAGACAATGCAGTGCATAGACAATCAGACTGGGAAGAAGAGGCACTAGATCTGATAGAACCAGACTACATGTATTGAAGGTATGTGCAAGTGTAAAGATGACAACGCCTTAAAAGAAATACATTCAGAAATATGATGAATTAAATGATTATGTCATGGGAAGTGCACGTTGGTGTCAAGTTGAACACCGATGACAAAGTACATGTACTGGTCAGCATTTGCTATAGAAGTCATCGAGGATAACAAAAACCTATGTGACCAGTTTAGAGCGTTGGAAATGGGAAAGTTTCACACATACACTGGTCATGGGTGACTTCAGCTTCAAAGAAATAGACCGGACAACCCTCCAGGTGCATGCAGGGGACAACCACCCAGGTTTTCTCTGATGCAACCCAAGATATGCCTTTTTCCTACAACATGTAAATTTCTCTACTAGAGGTAGAGAAGGCCAGAGATATACTTGACCTGGTGTTTTCTCATAAAAAGTTTATGAATGAAAACCCGAGAGACGTTGACCCAATTGGAAAGAGTGATCACTATAAATCCAAGGTTTAACAGCATTTTTCTTCGTCGTCTTCAGGAAATCTTTAAGCTCTAGGGAGCCAACTACTGGGCCAATTTAGCTACATCGAACACAACGTAGTCTATTGCAAGCGTGCGATACTGCATGTACTGCGTGCAATCATGCAGTGTACACGTACATTGTACATGTCGGCGTTCTGTCGATAACGTCATCAAATCAGCCTAGGAGCGCGAACGGCCAAAAGGGGATTTTTTGTGGGCGGGAAACGCAGGATATTTTTATTCATTTTGGGGTCACAATAAATGGGGCAAACATTGAATTTATAATGTTTCTGAAAAGGCTGCGTATTTATTGTTATTTTGACATACTTCAAATGAACTCAATGTTTTGTATTTCTGTTAACCTTTAATGCGTTACATGTCATCTGCATATTAAAGCGGACTCCTATCAGAGTTAAGGGTCATTCTATATATTAGGGGTCAATTTTTTTTCGTGTCCCTGTCGCACCTGACATATGATTTTGTGAAGAGTGATGAATTAATAGCATACCGTTTTTCGGTCTTGTTTGAGATCAACAGCAGTTCGACGATGACGATCGATTCACAGGTTGAGGAGAGAGAGTTTGACATCACTGGTTGGGTTTTGATACTGCTTAACTTCTGCGTCAACATGTTATGGGGATGCACATTTAAGACCATAGGTGTGCTTCTACCAGTTCTTACTGACCAGTTCAGCACTGACGCGTGGATAATTGGCACGGTGGCATCACTTACATCCGTTGCAGCGGACCTAACAGGTGAGCATTATAAAGAAATCATAGGTTTTTTCTTGCATGCCTTATCGCTTCACCATTTCTTTGCAGAAAAGAATGAAGTATTCCTACGACTGTGGGTGCATGCAGCGTTAACTAAGTGCCGTGATTATCCAATAGTTTTGTGGACCAGCTTTAGTAGCTTACAGTGTTAATTTTCTGCAGGTTTCGTGATATTTTTAGCAATGAAGGTTCTCTACTCACTGAAAGAACGTTTCCTACGGACTTGCTGGAAATTATTTTTAATTCAAAGAGCAACGAATGGACGCGCAAATGAAGTAATGTAGGCTAATAATATGTGTACAGTAGTTGTGATTTTAGATTGTAAGAGGCAAAAAGCAGAGGGTCAGCATTTGCAAGTTTTTCATGATCCCTTTTTTATTCTGTTTTAAATTAAGGTCTGCTCGCCTCACCTCTGGAGAATAAGTTCGCTATCCGTCAGTTGCTAACCATCAGTGCACTTATGGTTAGTTTGGGTTGGTTTGTCGTGTCCTGGGCAACAAGTGTTGTTCACATCGCTGGACCCTTGATTGTCGCTGTTGGTAAGCAGTTTACTGTAGCTAAAGAAGAAGCGGTTGGTACTATGACTTACTACATGAACGTTTTACTCTTGCCCTAGGTCCTTACTTGTGCAGCTCTTTGGACGGGTACCCAGCTTTTGTTGCATCCACCATGATGCACGTTATATGCACTTATAGCCACACGCAGTCAAGCTTGCAAGACGGTCGTGCGGACATTCCTTTGTTTCCTTGTGGTCAAGAAACCTCAGGGAATCTCCCTGCATAAAAACTACTTTGAGTTCATTTTCTTATGATTTCCTTGACTGTCCTGCAGTTTCATTCTGCTATGAGCCTGACCCCAAAATGCCTCTGAAGTTTTTTAGAGAGATGAAAGTGCTTTGGGGACGTGTGCGAGTCCGCACAACGTCTACTTACCCTACTGTGTGCGAACTTCTTTTCTGCAGAAGTCCACAGCTTGTGCACAGGGACATCGAGACACCATCGGTGTTCTGCATACAATCTCCTTTTTTTACTACCTCACCACAGTGCCAAATACTGTCGTAAATTGGTGGAACACTGTGATCTCCTTGTGGTTGGATCGGTTGTACTGCCGAATGTATGAAATGCTAGTGTTTCGTTTTGCAAAAACAGAAACAAGACAACTCGAGTAAAATCAACTGTAAATCAATGTAAATCAGTTTGACGGGAATTTTCAGGTGAAATTTTACTAGAAATAATAATAAATTGGATTTACAATATTCTTTTCTGAAGCTCTTCATTTTTAATTGATAGCAAGTTTTCATGTAGAAAAATGAGTGCCATATAAGCCGAGTTTTCTTTTTTTTTCACATTTTGCAAGAAAGGGAATCCTTAAAACCGTCGGATGTTTTTGTGTTCTTAAAAATGGTTGAGGTAGCCATTTTGTGTTTAAAACATGATTCTAGGTATCGAATATTTTATGTTCAATCGAATACTATTTCCCAATGTACTATACAGGATGAGTTAATTTTGAAAACGTAGATGGTGTTAAACAATTTAGCGGCGACGTATTTTGTTATGGAATGGAGGCAGACGTATTTGATAAATTGTGTTCATGATGTTTAGTATGGATTTTAGATCAGAAATCCGCCGATTGTGTAACAAGCTGATTAATATAATTGCCCATAAACCCGGAAAGAGGTTGCCACCCTTTTTAAAGCCGCAAAAAGGGGTTTATTGGGGACAGATCATGCGCATTGGGGTATCCAGTGGTGGGGGAGGATTAGGGAGACATGTTGCAATTTTCTGTTTAGAGATGGTATACTACCTTTCTGAGGGGGTTATTAAAGATTCCCTTGCCGACGAAAAAAGTCCTTAGTTGGGCAGTTGCCTTTAGAAAACATTCGTTTTCTGGATACTGCGTAAGTGGATGTCTGGCTGTTTCAAGGGTTTAGGCTTCCATCCTCTAGCTCAAATAGCTCAAATTAACTCATTATTTCCTCGCCTAAGACACCCCCGTCCCACAGCAGGGTACCCCATTTTATAGCAAGCTCACAATTTGCATTTCTAGCGAACACCCTACATCTGCAATTCATGCTTGGTGAATTTTTCTGCATGGTAAAAAAAGCACTGGATGAATACGGATATTGAGGGTGCCTCAATTCAAACTCAGCTTACGAGAAGCCGTAAACACTGTCTGGAAAGATGCGTGGCATAACGAACTAAAGGACACGCTGCACTATTCAGCCAAGTTGGTCACACCGTGGCATCTTCCAGTCTAAGGTTGTTTTGAATCTAGAGGAGAGTCCATCAAAATTATAACCTGGTGTCACTGGTTGCTTACAAATATGTCGGCTAAAAAAGCCAAATCAAGTCATCATTTTCTAGTAAGGATGTTTCTTTGGTTGCTTTAAATGCCCTGAAGAGTTCACTCGCATACTCCATGGGGGGCATTTGTAATGTTTCTGACGTAATGAAAAATGTCTAAGGCAAAATACATTTTTCCAGGCATTCATACAAATTTGGTAACGCTTTGCAAAAACAAACAAAATGGCCAGACGGTTTGGATGTTTTAATACTGTATTCAGATATGAATAATTATGCACAACAATTAGCATAAATATAAAATTACTACTTCATGTACCAGTACTTCTTGTGAATTAACATTGCCAAATGCATTTGCCAAATGCATACAAAATGTACATAAAATGCTTCCATACGATTATTTGCTTATTTTCATATTATTGCATGTGATTACCATAAGGCTGGTTTATCCAGTCATTTGATCCAATATTCAATAAACATCTTGTGGTCGTTGGAATGAGAGAAATGCTGGCAAAAAATAATACATGTACATTGTAAACATACAAATACTCTCACTTGCACATTATGCATGTACATTTTGTGGGAGTGTGACACTGTGCTGTGCACTGTCATTGGTCCTTTTTTATATAAATGCAAAACCTGTCGATCCGGGCTAGTACTGCCAGTGGGATCACAAATTTCTACTTTAATGGAAGGCTGTTTGGAAATAAAGTAAAATCTAAGTCGGATCGGAGAATTTGACAAGGACTGACACTTTATATGTAATGTGGCCGACGCGGTGCTTCACCCGTTGCTCGTATGTCGAGCCGCGCTGCACCGCTCCTCCGGAAACGCCTGTCATAAAAACCTCCAAATGCATTCATATGCGGCATATACAACGGCTGTAGAAAGTCCGCAAGCTTGTAATTTATCAAGGAATGCAAAATTGATTTTCACATAAAAATTTGAAGAAATTTTTGGTTCCTTTGGGGGGGGGAGAAACTTAATCAATAGGGGTGTCTGAAATTCCACTTTTGAAGTCTTTTTCGGCAGAAATGATAAATATGCGACATTGAAACCAATCCCTGCTTACGAGGTATTTGACGCCTGCACACCCGTGCGCGCACTGTGCGATGTGGAGGCACATATGCAGCAAGGTATGAGACGGAGAGAACCCCCCCTGCTTTGTGTTGGTCATTGTCTCGCAAGAATCTGGGGAATTCCTTTCAGACATCTTGGGGGATGTGTTAAGTAACAATAGTCTGAAATGTGTATAGGGATTGGACATGTTGGGGGGTACCCCTCGGTCTCATTTCTCGCTGGGTATAGTGAGGCAGTGATACGTACCGTATGGGGCCGATGGGTACGCCCCATGTCCACACACTCTAGACTATTGTTACCTAACTGGTTCTCTCCGCCCCATATCTTGCATCATAATGGAAGCAGTAGCGGTACACACGCATGCAGTGGCGATGGACTTCGTCAGTTGCCAAGATCAAAGGTAGATTAGAATGAGAGGAAATGTCATTTTCTGAGCTGAATTTTCCCCCCAATATTTTATATGCAACTTGTTTCTTATCAGCTAAAACAGAACACAATGTGCACAGTATATTATTTACCTCATGGGTATGTGCATGTACATCACTTCTAAGAAAAAAAAAACCGCGTCACCGCACCACTTTTGGACCAAGCCCATGAATCCCCCCGGCTGTAAGTGGTCCCATACTTCTGAATTTTGGGTTAAGACTGAAGTAATGTTCGCATGAATTCTTTTTTGAAATTATAAGGAACAAGAATGGCTTTAAATGTAACACTGTTAAAAAAATAGTGTGTGGGGGGGAGGGTTGAATCTGTTCCCATGTCCCTTCCCCGCTTGGACTCTGAATACACCACCGCATGTTATCTAAGAGGGGAAAGGGAGTTTCCATGAGGGTACATAGCACTTAACTATGAACCGATCCTGAACGGCACGGGGATGCAGTTGCTCCTCCAACTGTAAACTATTGAGGAAAACGGTTAAAAAGGGGGTTTCTAATTTGATATTCATTCTATCTGATTTTGAATGTACTGCAAGCACAAAATGTCAGCACCAAAGACGGCGTCAAATTGTCTCCGTGTGGACGGTGAGAAGTTAGCACTCTTTAATGTAGCTCTGTGACAGTCAGTCGGACATTTTGGACTGCAAATAAAATCTGGCTGAACTTTCTCGTTGTTTGCGATGAAGCTCATGCAATTAGTTATTAAAGTGCAGTATGAATTTATTGAACAATTCAACGAGAGAAAATGAATTTTAGCAAACTTAACCGGTGTCATTTTTGTAGGAATGGGCACTGGGATCCTGAACGTTTTGAGTAAAGCTTTTCTGGCGAGGCATTTCCGTAAGAACACCACGCTAGCCTACGGTCTGAGCAACACAGGAAATGCAGTGGCCCTTCTTGTTTTTGCACCAATGACTCAGCTGTTTCTTGATACCTACGGCTGGAGAGGAGCAACGTTGCTGGTCGCAGGAGTTTGCGCCAACTCCATACCCTGTGCTGCTCTTGTCCGAGTGACCAAAAAATCGTCCTATCAGCCCCTGTCATGTTCAAATGAAGACGGGACAGCCTCGCTCGAGACGAAGAGCTGCCACTCGTACATCGAAACTTTGTGTGCAGGCCTCTGGAAGGCTGCAGGTTTTGGAATAGTCTTTGAATTAAATTTTATCATACTGTACCTATGCCGCTTTTCAATGAATATTGCCTACAACAGCTGGATGGTGTATTTTATACCACATCTTCAGGCCAAGGGCTTCTCACCACAAGTAGCTGCTGCTCTGTGCGTTCCACCGGCCATTGCGTACTTTATTGGGACAAGTGTCTGGGCTCCATTTGTCGACCGAGGTCTCGTCAGTTGCTCGACGAGTATTGTCGTGAGCAACTTTGTTTTAGCAGCGTCCTTTGTGGCGGATCCGTGGGTGGACAGCGTCGCGGGTACGGCCGTAAACAACGTCCTTTTCGGGCTATCCCTTTCAGCCTTGTACACCCTCGGTGATGTCCTGACGAAAGAACTTTACGGAGTGGAACGACTGACGACTGCTTTTGCGTGGATCAGAGCCTTTGGATTTCTGCCCAGGCTTCTGGGTGGGTTTTTCCCAGGTAAAATAGTAAAAAGTGTGTGTGATAAATTTGAGCATCAGTATGTTTTTCCGTGCTTAAGGTATCTGCAATGCAATAATTAATGCAGACCTAGAAAATGCGCCTTCACATCTCATTTAACCTAGTTTTTTTTAGGATATTGCACTATATTTTGGGTTTTATGCTTAATATAAATTCCTTTCTTCATAAGTAAAACTGTGATGTCATCCGAGGAAGAGAATATCAATGTTGCATTTGTTTAAACCAAACGTTTGCATGTTTGTGTACAAAAAACTGCTGTTTTTTAAAGAAGTTTTTGCTGGCCTCAAATTTCATTTCTTAGGTAATTCATTGTTGTGTGGGTACCTAGCGATAAGAAAGCATACAAACCTTTCTTGGAAATATTTTCATGTCGATAATTTGAACAGAAACGTATGCACTGAAAACATCTCTTCCAGTCACAGAAACAGCAACCTCAGTAATCCAGGAAAGCATGGGCCGTTTTCCAATACTCGACTTCGGCTCCGTCTCAGGCTTCAACTGTTTTTTTTACTAGCTGACTTTGAAGCTGTAAGCGCAGTAATCAAATAAGATGCAAGAAAGCCCAAAATTACAGTAATCCGATGTAATTTAAACGCTTCAGGCCCACAATTGGGGATTGGTTTTGGGATCTGGGAAGCCGGAGACGAAGTTGAGTATTTGAAAACGGCCATGGGCAATTTTTAATAGTTCAAATATTGCACTTTTCAATGCATTTATATAACCGAAAGGGGATGTCAAAAAATGTTTATCATTTCTATGAAGAAGAGTGTAGAGTTGCAGAAAAATTGGATCTATGAAAAATTCATTGCGGTTTCGATAGGCAGCACGAAATTTGGACTAACAAGCGAATTTATCAAGACTTAACCTTAGAGCAATTGATATATAATGGTACAAGTGCAGTTCATGAAATGGCCTACCAGCGAATCAAACGAATAGTAGCATATAGAATAGGTTGAGGTCTCATGCAGTCAAATTCATCGCGGCGTTGTTGCTGAGTTCTCATAAGACCATCGCAGGCCATCTAGTGTCCAATCAAGTCCCAAGCCATTCAAATAAGTGCGGTGACAAAGGCATTCCGACACCATATTCATACTTGTGACCGGACTTGTGGCTTGACTGGTGGTGGACTTGTGATCGGAACTTGACGGACTTTAACAGCCATATTCTCTTGTTCATTCTTGTTTCTGTGATACAGGCTGGATGTATGATACAACAGGGACTTATGACGTAGCGTACGTCGTCATTGGCTCCTCGTCAATTCTCACCCTTATTCCACTTGTCGTCGAACAACTCTGGAAAAACCATCTGGAAAAAACGTCACAGTCCGCATAGTAGATGGAGTATGGTAGCTCACCACGGCATTTCTGGACGATTTTGTAAATCTTGCTTTGTTTTGTTTGTAACTTGCCTACAATAAACCCGCATGTTTCCTATGGTCGTGTATATACAGTGGAACCCGGAGGAGGATTATTCTCAAATAAAATGTTGGTCCATAATTTAACCCCACAAAAAAAGATATTTTGAATTACATTACATGAGATATAAGGATTGAAGTTTTGCATATTCACTTTAAGTTCCGTAATCCTTCGAAACTGGATTCTATTCACATTGGTCAAGTCAACGCGAGTCCAACCGACTCGTCAGTTAGAAACCTTGGTTTTTATCTTGATCTAGTTTGTTCCATGTCTGGTCATATTACCAGAATTTCCAAGTCTGCATCGTTTGCTCTGCATCGAATCGGCCGTATCGAATCTTAGATCGCACAAGCACGGAGAAATTAGTCCATGCTTTCATTACGTCTCGACTGGACTATTGTAACAGTCTCTTTATCATGCACCTGATCAATTAACTAAACGCCTCCAAGCCATTCTGAATGCAGCGGCACGCTTGGTATGTCGTTCTCCAAAATCTTCACATAGGGGCCTATAACCCCAGTTCTTTGTTCTCGGCACTGGCTCCCTGTTGCGCAGCGAATCGACTTCAAGATTTTAGTCATGGTTTCCAAGATACTTCATGATCAAGCACCTTCCATATCAATTTGTTTTTCGTCGCCAAAGAGAAAGGAATACCACATCCTCTATGATATTACAGCTTAATGAGCCCCGCTATAGGGAGGCGTCCTATGAGAAGGAGCTTTTCGGTTGCTGCACCTAGGCTTTGGAATGGCATCCCCAATTCGGTCCCTGAAGGCCCACTCTATAGAATGTTTTGAGTCTCGGTTAAAAATACATCTCTTTTGGGTGGTGTACCATCAGTAAGTGTACCGTCCTTGCTTGTTATAATGCTATATTGCACATAATTGCGTTTAGGTTTTTTGTAGTGATGTTTTAAAAACTACTTTTATTTTGAGTCTCTTTTATTATGTTACTTGTAGCTACACTCTGAAGGCTAAGATCTTAAAACCGCCATTTGTGGATGCTTGGTGGGCGGCCTTTCTTTCAGTGGTGCTGGATCCGGCGTCTTTTTAGCTTTTTATCGCATAATATTTAGGTAGTTTTACTTCAGTCGGTCATAGTATTTGTGTGATTTATTTATGTAGGGCCTACGCCCTGTTGAGATCTGTTTTATGGTGTAATGAGCTCAAAACAATAATTATTATAATAGTTATTTTTGAATAGTTTTATTAATTCATGAATACATGTACTATATTCCAATGTATACTTGTTTCGTATTTGGAAGTTTTGGCGAGCTGCAAAACAAATGCTAGCCAGTGTAAAGGCGCCTATCCTGTCAACACTTGCGCCAAGTGTTGCGTATCCGTACAGTGTAACGCACACATGTGCTATGTTAATGTTGTCGATTTTGGTGTCTGTGAAAGTGAAACGCACGGATGCATCGCTCACGCAACTCACCAAAAAACGTACATAAGGAAAGGTGTCTTAATGCCGATTTCAGTGGCGTAATTAGTATTTTACTTGTGGAAGGGCACAAACGGGGAGGGGGGCACCAGCATCTTATGGGGGCACTAGCTGTCAGTAGTGGTTTTTTTGGGGGGGCAAAGCTTTTGTAAGCCTCGTTCAATATCCATTCATTCGTTTTTTTAGTGGTCCGAACCTGGGGGTGGGGCGCGTTCCCCCAGGCCCCCCTGTGGCTACTGGCCGATTTCCATCTGTCTGTCTCTCTGTCCATGCGTTTTTCACAGTGTCTTAAGTTTTTACTTCTTGGTGTTTGGGTAATAATGTGTGCCATTATACCAGTAGTTTATTTCATTCTGGTAGTTCCAGACCTTTTTGTAGGATCGTTGCCTCAATTGACGTGTATTTCACCTGAGTTGAAGTGAGAAGTCATGCGCCAACTCTGTGGTCTATGGGGGGTGTCATATGCACACTCCAGTTGAGGTCAGTGCCCCTTAGTTTCCCAACCTCACTGCTTGGAACTTTGAAATGCATGTGCACGGCCTATGAATGCTGAAAAAAATTGTTTTTCACCTCGGTCATGCTACTATACGAAAAAGTCTAAACTACTCTACCAGAAAGGACCATTTTTCCCACACACGTTTGTTTTAGATACAAGACTATTGCGATTCCATTGTCTTCCTGGTAGAAGTGGGCCAACTGGCCTGGTCGGTCCAAAAGTCAGGAAGACGGAAAAGGAGGCCACGTAGAACGACGTGCGTCATATGCATATTATGCGTAGGACGCATAAAATACGTACTGTACACTCTATGAGCATAATATGCATATATAACGGAAGTCTACGTGGCCCCCTTTTCTGTCTACCGTCCACACCTCGACGACCCCGCCCGCCCCCCTGTACATAATTTTCTATCAATGGAGGGCGCAATTCACGCGCTGGTAGTGTCAACAAACGAATGCGGTAGCGGTAGCAGCATGCAGCAGCGGTAATTCAAAATATTATCTCCAAGCTACATGACATACATTTAGTTATATCGTTTTCGCGCTTTTGTTTGTCCTTCATGTTAATTGTGTATGTAAGTCAGCCTACTTCGATGTGAAAAGTAACCGTGGATTAAATACTGATGGTAAGTATTTTTGTACTGGCATAATGATTCTGGTACAGAACAGAAGTGGTACCGTAGGCCTATGTACAGTGTACATGTAAGCATGATTGGGGTTTTCACTGCGTGGAATCATAGACATACAGTGGAATGCAAGCCATCGATCACGGAGGACAATTCCTCCATTCATTAAGCCCTGCATGAGCCATATGCGAATTAAGGTCATAGATTTGCGTCCGAAAATGTTTGGAAACACATGAGGCTACTTTTCATTATTCCTTAGTTTGATATTGACATGATTGATAACACTTTTCCCATTTATTTTCACCTTCTTCTTCAATGGTTTCACTAGCAGCAGTGTCCATATAGTTTAAGGCCAAGAACTATCTCCAAACAGTTTTTCCTAAGCCTAGACTTGGGCATAGCAGTTCTATGGAGCTATTATTAGGCCTAATACATGTACATGTACTGTAGCTCCATGACAGTAATGGTGTACATCAGAATTCTGAGATTATCCTAAAACTGAGAGTTGTTCTTGGTCTAAAATCAGTCCCCCAAGAGAGAGAGTGTCTCCCAAAAAAAGGAACTTTTTTCCATGCAGGCTTTGGGGTACGACCATTGCCCTGCCATGCCACCCTGGGGATCACTTTTGTAATTTTAATGCAACAGTTCACCCCTGGGCTACTGTTCAAAACCCAAGTTTTACTGTTTACTTCTTGGATTACAAGCAGGCGTCTGTAATGGGGCATAGGGCTACATGTAAAATATGAGAAAAAGACGCCATCAAAATAATTTTGTTGAATATCAGTCCTTTTCATAGAGAAACTTGAGTGACATACATGTATGAAGGGAAAATATGGGGGAAAATGATAGTGTGTGGGTTTGGGGATCCCAGCCCACTTGGGGAAAGCCCCCTTTTGAGGAGACATTCTCTCTTTCACGTATGTTCACCCCTTCCAATTAGTTTGTGCACATGCGCTAAAATTTGGCAAAGTCATGGTCATTGTCTGTTGCTCGCTGACTATACCAAAATCCACTTGTGGATATCTTCCACACTCTGAAAAAGTTTGCTGCATTTATACCAGAGAAATATCATCAGGTTTCAGATTTCATTTTGTGATGTGTTTCTTGTTAATCGTAAGTGACATTTGCGAGGAAATGGGGTGAAAAATGTCTGTGTACATTAAGGTTTCCAAATGCAAAAAAGGGTGTTTTTAAACCTGAAATTTGAATTGTTCTCCAGTTTCTTCCACAAATGCTCCATATCTTAATAATGAAAGAGTGTTTGAAAAAGGTTACCATGTTATGTTTAAGCTATTGCAAATTGTTGTTTGTTATTTTGATCATTTCAATTTAGGCTCCCTGTCAACCAGTCGGCCATGATTTACTTGTATGTGTGCACATGTGCATGTTCAAGCACTTCATCAACGTATGTACACGTATACATGCACTGCTATGGATAAATGATTCTCATGCAAAATTAAATGCCTGTAAATGTAACTAATGCCTGTGGTTATTGCGCTTACGGTGTACATGTGCAGTACGCCAGTTGGTCCGTCTGATGAATTCTCAGTATTTTAGCCTAAATAACAATTTTAGGAAAGGGTTCCACAATCAGACATCTGTATTTTTTGCTACAGTGGTATATCAGCCATCAGAGAGGGCTAACTTGTCCTCAGAAAGAATCAAATTTAGCTGGGAAAATACTGAAAACATGGAGCCTAGATTTTTCAGACAGTCTCATAGGTTTTGTGCACAGGGTGTCAAGTGACTCTGTATGGAGGTTTTTTTTTATTTGGTGTTAATGTATCAGATCAGTAATTCTCCACAGCATCCATGCCTGAAGCGTTTCAAATCTGGGTCCAACCTTGTACCTTATTTTGGCTTGTGCACAAACTATGGTCCATGACAGAAATTTTTTTTTTCAAAGAAAACTTATAAATGGTTTCTCTCCCAAAAGCAGTGTTTTGTCATCAAATTACACTTTTTGGTAGTTTTCAAGTCACAGTCAAATGAAGGAAGACAAGTGTTGATAGGTTATTTATGGTACACACTTCTTCCACACAACTGAAGGATTGAAGAGTCAGTTTTGAAGGAGACATTTCCAGAAAAGGGGAATTATTATGAAATGTATATCGGGCCGTCATCCCATCATGTTTTTTTCCTTAAATAAGTACTTGCTTTGAAACAACAAAGTGAACGCTTTCATGTTATGTGCCATCCTATTTAAAGAAAAAAGGCATGGCTGAGCACGTATACCTCAATCAAAAATTTGTACGCTTCCAAATCATCATGCGATCATTCCAATATGCACTCTCATCAAGCAATGCATGTGAACAAGATGGCACATTACCATGAAAGTGCTTTGTTAAATTGACCCTTCATGACCAAATCATCTTGTTGTTTTAAAAGAAATGCCACGCTGAATCGCTGGATATTTCACTTTCTCTTGAAGGAATTTTACCGATGCTGCTTGAAACCCTATGAGACTGGTTGGAAAAATACTTAGGCCTAGCCCTAGTGTTTTCTGTGTGAATATCTCAATATTTTCACAGTTGAATTTGACTTATTATGACATTTTATTTCTTTCAGATGGCTAAATAGGCCACTTCAGAGAAACTGAGCGACAGGTATATGGAATTCTTTCCCTTTCTTTTTGTCATGCTCATTAGAGGTGAAGTTACCCAAGCTAATAACAAATACCCGTAGGTGTTTCCCACAAGGCAGTGTATTTTTGGCCCTGAACAGGGTACCAGTTGCTGAATACTTTGTTCAAATACTCCATAGGAACCAACAATCCGTTGTCTTAAATACCGGTATTTGTGATTTTCTTAGGAGCAAAATGAGCGGCTCTGGTTCTCCAACGCAGAGTGCAGCAGCCACAACCTCCTCATATGAACAAAAGGTCATCCTTGATCTGCAGTAAGTTATCTGTCATGTCCACTGCAGTAAAGATAGTTTTTTGCTTTGTCGACTCATCCACACAAAGGAAAATAGCTTTTCGTGTTAAGGAAAAAGTTCTGTGTCTGGCCTCCGTGATTTTCAACCTTCATAAGCTCTACTTTTTAAAAAGGGGCACCTTTATTGAGTGGGGAGATTTAAATGTATACCACGGACAGCAGGGTAACTACCTGGGGGAATGGCAAGACTGCCATCTCTGACCCCATTTTCAAATTTTTTGCAATTTTTTGTGGTGAAACTCGTACATTATTTAGGCCAAATGTGGAACACCTTTCGTGGTCGAAAAAACTCTACATGTAGCTTGCTGCCAAATAACTTCAGGTATATGTACATTTGTTGATGCCTGTCTTCATTTTGACATGTTGTGTTCAGAATTCTATTATATTTAGATTTAGTCATTCGGAATTCATTCCAGACTTACTGCCTGTGATCTACCTCTTTTTGAAAATGTCAGAATCGTGAATTTACGGCATGCAGAATGGAGTCGAACTTTGTTAATGAGAGCATTGTTAATACAAGATTGTGTTTGTGACAAGGAAATGGCGAGGTCCCGATCTTTTGTTTTGAATTGATTTAATTCCTGATCATATAACGTTCCTGATATGACAAGGTAATTTGCCAAGCCCAAAGGACCTCTTATTAATGGTTTTCAACTGAAGTGTGAAAGTTTTGGAAGGAGCAGACTTTGACATTTCAATGATTGGGTGAGAAACCTTTTAGTATTTTTGTTCAACCTTGTTCTGAGAGTCTAATTTGTTTCCTAGTTGGCTCAAAATTCCGATAGCATTATGGGTACATCATGCAATAGCAGTTGGCACTCATTTCCTTTTCTAAAATTCCTTGGACTGCATGGCTGCCGACCCTGCTGCAATATCTGTGCATTAGAGGTGAATTACTGAAGTCTCTTGAAAGTTCTGGCTATGCAAATGATGAAAAATTGTTCACACAGGGCAACTGAAACACATCCTACATGAACATGTATGTAAATGTCATTTTCATCTCAGAGCACAGCTGAGACAGCTAGCTCAGCAGAACCGAGAATCAATTGCAAAGGCACTGTCAGCTGCCAAGGCCACAACTTCCTCCTTGCCTTCCCAATCGGGCCAGCCTTCCCAATTGGGCCAGCCTGCCTCCACAGACTCCTCCACCGTAACCCCACTCACTCCTACCAGCACTACTCATGTTGCCAGCTCATCACCACCAGCCCTGCCTGTCTCGCTCACTACTGGCCCCCACCGTGAGCCCGCTGTGCCCGAGGTCGGTGACGAGGTACCTGATCAGCACCCGCTGATTCTGAGCATGTCCAGTCCTGCCAAATGCACCAGTGCTGCTCCTGCCGACCCCTTGACTGTACCCATGGTTGACAGCCATCACCGGATATATTCGGCAGGGGGTTTGATTACAGAACCGTTCCAACACCCGACAGTGCCAGAGCTTCCACTTTCTAATCCTGCAACAAGGTGAATGACAATTTCAAAAATTTAATAATGTACTTTGACTGCATTACAGAACAAAAAATACATGTAGTTACATGTTATTTTCTTCAATTTGAACAGTCACAGTTTACCCACGGTGTAAAATGTCCCAATTTTTCCAGTATTTTGAAGACCTGAAAATAACTCAAAAAATAATCCAGTCTTTATCTTCTGGAAATTGCCCACCATGTTTTCTCCTAAGTGGCTAGAAATGGGGCACTTGTGATAAAATACCAAAACTTTGCTTTAAAGAGTCTCCCTGTTTAACTTTGGCAATCTTTGACGAGCTTGGCCAATTTGTGTCTTTTTTTCAGGAGCCTACTAGAAAAGCAGCTAGAGGACACCAAAGCTCAGGTTTTGCACCTTGACACAAAACTGAAAGAGGTTCGTGAGGGCTCCTTAATTTCCTTGCTCAAGCAATCTTGATGACGTATTCAGAGTGGCAGATCTTATTAATTTTTCACCTTCATCTCTACCTTGAGCA